ACACAGGATTTTATAAAAGGACTATAAAGGGAAAGCCTTATTTTTCTCTTTGCAAAATGCAGCAAGTGTGACCTGCCATGCAAATGAGCCCACCAGCCTCTCAGTGTGTGTTTCTCTTGATATTCTTTGTCTCTCTAGATACATCATGGCTTACTCCAATGCCCAGAATTAAGAGGTTTTTTGCTCTTTCCTTTTGAAGACATAAAATCAGAGAAGTAGCTCCAATTATCAGGGTTCACATACCTCGCTCAGCAGTTGTGACCAATATATATGCACATATCAGCACTCTACAATTGCAGTCATGACTGTTACTGCCGTAAAATACATATTATATAAGAGGACAGTGTTACCACGAGATTTTAATGTCTGACTATATGTGTTCTTATCGCAGTGGGGTAGGATGTACCGTAGGTGGATTTTAAGGCTGAATATGAAGACTGAGCTGATTCTAGTTTGTCCGTTTTCTTTATTTGCCAGGGCTAGAGAATTAAAGGGTTCATGGCCTCTAGAGTCATATGTTTTGTGGAGGTGGAAGGACTGAGTGAGTGGGTTCCTTTATACGTACATTAGAAAATTGTTTCAGCTAGGGGTAGCTTTTTTTACTAGAGGAAGCTGTACTGTAGATCGCATCTTTCAAGCTGGGAGAAACAAACTGAATAATCAGAAGGCGTAGTAGAGAATGGCAAACCAGGGATTTCAAAAATTCAGGCACATATAGAGACACGACAGAGTCTCCTGACTTTTGCTCCTAAAACAAACAGTTTTTGTCTTTTTTGAGAGGATTCTAAGGTGAAACCCTCATGCCATTTGTGTGAATAATCTGCATCCAGTCATGCTCTCATAAACATGCTGTTCTGCAACAGCTGTGTAATGTGCAAAATATTGGATTTATCACAGATGAAGGAAGTGCAACTGTGGCATTGATTTCTTGATGCCAATGGATGGTACGTATGTTGCACTGTGATATAAATGATGAAAATATTTCAAGCAGTGGTATCCTACTGACTAAGTGTCAGAAAATAGCTTGGAAGAATGAATTATTTCTTCCAAAAGCTGGAAAAATAACCCTTGTTACAGTTAGTTTAGAGGTGCTCTAAAACTGTTGTTGTGTATAGAAAGACTATGATTGATTCAATGGGCCTTAGGTTACACCTTCAAGGTGGAAGTCCTGATTGGATGTTAGGAAAAATATTTTACCATGGTGGTGGTCAAATGTGGGGGCAGGTACCACAGTGGTTGTTCAGTCTCCATCCTTGGAGATATTCAGAACATGACTGGGGACAGCCCTGACCAATTGGCTCTAAACTGAAAGCTGACTCTAACTTTGACATTGGCCCTGCTTTGAATGACCTCCACAGGTCCCTTTCAACTCAAGTTATCCTGTGACTTTGTGGAACAGTTTGCATATTATGACAAAATTATAGTTTTTTTCCCTGCTAATTTAATCTTTTGTGTAAGAATTGTAACAGATTCTCCTCCACACGTTTAGAAAGATAGCATACTTTGTGTCTTCATTTGCTTTGGAGGTCTCTGGCAGGATAAGTAGGGTGCATCTTTAGCACCTTATATCTTTTTTCTGCTGCAGCTTAAAATATATACTGCGTCTAGCTCACACATGTATCTCCCTCTGATATGAGTGGGAATGTTGTTCTCGGTGGAGACACCTTATTATGTTGATTGTAAATATAGTAATTTTATCGGTGCACTAGGTGCTGGAATCTTCCTTCAGCTATATCTGAAATGGACTTTCAGAGATGTGTTTGTGGTCAGTAGTGAGAATCTTGCCTTGTTTCACTTCAGCTCTGAGCCCTATCCATAAATGGCATGTAAGAGTGGGCTCTTGCTACTACGAATGTAAACAACAAAAAGGAGACAGTTCAATTGCATAGTGACAGGCACCAGCTGAGGTTGTAAATAAATCGTTAAATCTTCACGGAGTATTGCAAATAAGACAGTCTTGTACATAATTGTAAATCGACAAAGAGGAAGCCAAAACTGTAATAGCTTTGGGTATTTTCTTGAATTGTACATTACTTTTTTTTGTTGAAAGTTTATCTGATGTATAAAGACATATGAAGAGGCTATTAAACTGGATTGCTGGAAAACCCACTATTACTGCTTATTCATTGTAACGTGTCCGCTAACCTTATAGATGATTCACAGAGGGAATATTGCATCACAGGTTTTCACTTCTCAATTTAAACAGATGCCTGATTAAAAAACACATTATGAAAGAGTTACAGACTCCCACAATGTATTTACATTCATACCTATGTTTCTCTAGGTGTCAGCATCACATCCTCATTATAAGCTTTACAGGTGGGAGCAAAGGCAGCTTAAGGGGGAAACGAAAATATTTTCAGCAACAGGCTAGAATAGTTCCTTCAAAAAAAAGGCTGTTTACACTACAAGAATGCATATAAAATACATGTGTCTCTGAGGTCATGACATGTTTTAATCTATTTCTTTCTTCTGCTTAGCCACAGAAAGAGAGCGACATTTAGCATGTTTTCACTTCTACCAGAGCTTGGAAAACACTAAGTATTCTGATAGATTGGGACAAGCAACCGTTGTGTAAGTATGAAATTTTCTGTCAAAGGACAGCCAAGAAAAAATTAGCTACTAGGGCTCATTGCACCATGTCCCCACAGCTAATGGTACTACTCTTGCTTACACTGCTGGTCGTTTATGGTTTGTATTGGTCATTGGAAAGAAGCTCAAATCATGCTATTTCTGTGCCAGAGCTCCAAAACCAACTTCTATTACCCACTGCTGCTTTGTTGGCTGAACACTTCACTGCTTCTAACTCGTGTGTCACTATTTTGAAGTTTTTATTAAGAAATTATTCTGAACTCACTCCTGCTGCAGATGGGGTCAACGTCTATAACAGGGTGGTGAAATTATACCTGCATTTTAAGTAGGTTAGTAGGAGCAGGGACAATATTAAAAAAACCCCAACCAACATTTCTAGCTGCACCAGAACTTCATCTAGTAAAGCAGAAGACCGGATGATTCAGTCTATAATAATGCAAAGGGTGGTTGATGGTAGGAGTGTTGTTCTGCCTCCAGATCACACCAAAGTACTTCCTATGTTGCTTGTTCTAGTAGATTGAAGTAGACAGCTGGCTTTTGCAAATGATGGCATTGCCTGGATAATCCCATACTCAGCATGCTCTGATACTAGCATTAGGAAAATCTGGATCTTTTTGCCCAGCCAAGGCCACTGTAAGGTACCTGGAGATACTAGATTTCCAAGAGCCTTAGCATCTCTTGTAACACAAAACAGTCATAACTGAATGGAACAAAGAGGCTTTTTATGATCCTGGGCCAGCCCTGCTTCCCAAAACGGGAACAAATCTGTCACAAAGGGCTCTAACTACTGAGTACTGCTCCCTCTGGGTCTGGGCTGGGAGGGGTGAATTACTTTAAGCTCTACAGCCTGCAGGTCTGCAACCTCCCTGCAACCAGTGTCCAACTGCCTTTTGAGAGTGGGTTGCACATTCCCACTGCTTAGGCTTTTCCTCTTAGAAAATCTTCTCTGAATGGCTCTCTGGAGACTTCAGTTGCATTTTTCAGGAATCCTGCACAAAACATGTGCAGAAACCACAGGAATTTCCTGCACACACAAACTTTAAGAGGGCAGAAAACATTCATACATCTGTGGGAAAGCAGCCAACTCGTTCACACAGTCTGCTCTCTGAAATCTCAAAGGACTCTGTTTTGTCTCCAAGCCTTGTTGGGGATTCTCCTTCCTCTCTTGCAGTAAATCCTTCTTCCGTTGCTGGTTAGCTTCTGGCACAGAAGACCAGCTCACGGTGACCACTGCTGTGTTCAGGGATTGCAGTGGACTGTCCCAGTCTTCAGCTGTGTTGGTTTGCATGCGCAGTGCCCTTCCTGTTAGGTAGGGTGGGTGAATAAGGTACAGGAACATGGATGTGGAAAAGGGGATCCCCACATCAGAGATGGAGGGCCATGCAGGCTGCAATGGAGCTGCCTGTGTAAGTCTCTGTGCTAGGTTATCTCCACGTGAGATGCTCTCCCTCCTTTTCTAATCTTATCATGTATTACAACCTGAGCTGTGTGCACCTTGGATCCAGCTTGTCCTTCATACAGGACAGAACAGTAGAATCTGAGGTATGTATGTGTGTGTCTATACTTACATATGTGCCTACATGTGTATGAGTTCTTACTTCCAAATACAGAGTACAATCACTAATAGCATCAACAAATGAAATGTATGTGAGGATGCATAGTTTCATTTTCCCTAATGCTTCTGCTCTTTGTCATCCAGTTATTTGTTACACTACTTTCCAGTCTGCAGCTTTTCTCACATATTTCCTCCACCTGTGAACAAACTAGCAATAGTCTAAATCCGAAGTAGAAGAAAAAAGCCTCAAGCGCTTTTTGCATCTCGAGCTTTTGAAAAAGAGTGGATCAATGTGATAGAACAAAGACTTCCCCTAGCACCTGTTACACTGCCTAGTAAAATTTCAATTCTTATGGTGCTTAAGCACTATTCCTAGAACAGTTTCTTCTTGAGCAGCTCACCTAAAAAACCCCAAGAACGTGTGACTGGCTGCACTGAGAACTGACATTGAAGGGTCTCCATCATAACAATGAGCAGCTGTTTAGGGGAATTATATGAAGTCGGGACATGTGCATGGTAATCCTCTGAAATATCCATACAGCTTCCAACAAGCTATGGTTTAGGGACTTCTTGGGCAGGAGGTTATATTTAC